CCGCGAGATATCTGTGCACTCGAAGATGCTTAAATGTCGAGCGAGACACGCGAGAAGGAAGATATTGCGCAAACGCTGTATACTAGGATTTATTTAACCTTGTACTTGACGTAAATCAGATGTTCACGGTTTCATCGAATCGGGAGCTTGAACGTCCGTTTAGTGACGTCACTGTTGCGACATAGAAGCTCCCGATCGGATGAAATCGTTCTTAAAAGCAGTGATCGTCAAACTGCCGATCGCGAGCTAATAGCAACTTTCTGTAGATCGCGGCCATGCTCAAGATTGGCTAACCAGATCACCAAAAAAAATTCAGACTCAAACTCACTGATGAGCATTTGGACAACTGTATTCAAATGGCAATCACAACCTACTCACCTAACATAAAAATCTCTTAAAGACAAAAAAGGGTGCCATCCTTTTAATGAATAAGTCTGATGTAAAAAACTGTTCTTCCATTTGTAACTTGTTACTAACTATATTTCCATTTTTTTGTAATGTGAAATTCCATTTTAATTTATTTTTCTAGCGTACATTTAATTAGAATTTGTTTCATATTTAAGAGAAATGTACGTTCATAGACAATAAAGAAATGTTAAATTTGAACAAGAAAATTGTCTTGGTTTCTTGGTAGCTCACTGTAGAATTGAAAACGGTATGGTTGCTCACAAGTTTCGTAAGTTTGACGATCACTGCTGTGGAACCTGGTGGCAAGAGATGGGTGGCCTCCTACCATGCACCAATTTTTGCTCGATCTGCATCAGCATGTTTGCATTATAAACCACGTGACTTTATATAATTTTCTTAGCAGATGCGTTTATTCCCGAAGGGGCAGAAAATATCGTCCACGAAGTAACACTTTCTATTGTTTTTTTATTTTTTTTATTTACCTGCTTGCTATGGAGTCATTCTCTTGGGAAATCGCTATTGTGAAATATTCAAGAAATGTGATCAAGAGTTACATCAGTAAATGTGCTTGGGGCCCAAAGGGGCTTATCACATATGTATGATGTGTCGATTTGAAAATAACATAACAACTCACGCATATTTAAGGTTAACAGCGTTTCAATATTTTTAACTTTACTGGATTTTTTCATTTAAATGGCTGTGTATCACAGATGTCCACTCTACATGTTAGGAGTAATGGGAAGACATGCGGATATTAAAGTTTATAAACGGGTTTCGTTGGCAAATGAAAATATATCACTTCATAAATAATGCCTGAAATTAATGGTCTGGTAGTAGCGTTAAGAAAAAAAGTATTTCATTATAATTATTATATGCAATTAATAATAACAACAACAACAACAACAACTTCTTCATGTCTCAGAGAAAGTTTGTTTGAGAACACAGTATCACCAGTGTCTAATGTAATTGATACTAGTCTCGTTGATATAGGAATGGAACACTTCTCAACCGCGAGAGGATAATGCCAATAAATAATTGCTCATACGTTTCTCAAAGAAAAGTGCGAAGAATTGATTTCCATGATAAAGTTTGCAATTCTGAACATGTTGGAATATTCTACTTGAGATTAAGTAACTTAATGTAAAATTACAAAAAGAAACAAATATTTTAATTCAATATCTTAATGCCTTTACTCAGATAGGCCCTTGACAAAAGTTGATGCATTGTGTAATATGATGCAAATTGAATAATTTTACAAATGAAGCTCATGGATTCTGACCTATCCGTATTTTATAAGAAAATATAAAATATTGATGATACAGTTATATAGGCTACACTTCTTGGCATTATTTTATACTAAAACATCGGTATGAAATAACCTGGAGTAGAAAGTGTTATAGAAATTGGAAACTCTACGTAATGGACGAAGTGTTCGACACCTATTGTTAGTCAATTTCTAAGCGCCATGAAAAACTGACAATTTGAGAATGTGAACAGGCTCTAATCACACTGAAAATCATGTATGAACTTGTGAAGCACAATTTTTTAACTCCGAGGGTTTGCCAGGTCCGATGGAATTATTCCAAACATATACGTTTTACGCAACTTCTTTAAATTAATTCAAAGGAAAGTTGAACATTGATTACTTAGTTAATAGAACACTTGTAACAATGATATAATGATACTTGAAAATATATATTAACTTTATTTGTTGCCACAGCTATAAATTAGGACCTAACGTCTTTTACGTAAAGACACAATTTTTCTTGAAATTAAATCCCAGAGAACTTTCATTTGAAAGTCTCTTCCTGACTGTTATATACTGATTCTCAGGTTCATTTATTGGGACAACGAAATGGAGAATGCACAAAGCTATATCACGTAATATTCTTATGTCTGGAGCTTAATAATGCCCTGAAATGATATGGTATTCCTGGAGAGAAAATACGAAAGGAATCATGGTAGATTTCACGAGACTGGCTATTTCAAACACGTTTCGGGCCAATTTACCTCACTACTGATCTTGTGGATGATATATCCACTTATTGAACATTCCCTTAAGTAATTTCCCACAGAGATAATGTACACAATAGGTTACTATAAGGCGCTGTTGATCAGAGTATTGAAAAAGTTCTAAATAACACATTAATATTGCTCTGAACATTACTAAAAAATGATACACTCCCACGAGACCATTTATTCGGAGCTGAGCAATCACGGAGAAAGCACGTACCGGCAGACGGGCCATGGTGGCTGCGGTGGCGGCGGCGGCGGTGGCGACGGCGGCGGCTGCGACAACAGGAACGATGGTGATCTGGCGCAAGGAGGGAGCGCATGCCCTGCTTAAGTACCCTCTCGCCCGAGCGATAATAGGCAATTACCTTAATTAGAGCAGGTGGCGGTTGGGTAATCCTTACGAACGCCTGGCTCGTGGATCTGAGTCACTTTTTAGCGAGAAGCCGGGAGATGGAACGACTCGTGATACGATAGCTCTTTGTCTTTCTGCGTGCGTGATACAAAGGCCTGGGGGAGGGATGGCGTTCCAATACGGTGGACGAATGTTTGCTTCGTCCAAGCAAGACCAGATGCGTCATTAAACAAATATCTATAATGCCAGCTTCATACGTACGAACACAAGTTACAAATGACAAATATTGAAATTAAATCCTTCCTGCCTACTGTGGGTGGGGTCTTTTTCGATACCTCCAGTTTTATCACCTTTTACAACATTACAACCAAAAGTATGCTGCAATATCACAAACAACATCAATGTTTTTATCAATATTGAAATATGGTATAGTCCAAGCAAACATCTTAAACTCCAACATAAAATTTTAAATTAGTTAAAGATTTTGCCGACAAAACCTCGAGAAGACAAAAGAGGGTTTTTTCTTTCTTTCTTTTCAAAAAGATACGAATAAGCAATAATTGTATTACTGCAGATCAGAAAAAAATTATAATATGTACGTAAATTAAATGACCTGCTTCCAGTTATAAGGAATACAAAAGTGCTATTGAGCACAACATTACATTGGACTTTTCAGTTGTAGATGAAATAAGGAAGAACGGTATGCAGGAAAAAAATAGTATTTTCATACTTAAAAATATTTTGGAGTGCTTCCACACATACACACACACATATACACACACAAGCACTCGCGCGCTTACTCGCTCGCTGACACACTTGCGCACGCACAAAAGGAATAAATTGAATGAAATACATTCAAATCCTACACACACAAACTTGTACGTGTACTATGATTTTATAAGTATTTCTTGGTCATCATGTTTGACTCTTTTCTTCTTCTAATTAATATTATTATTATTATTATTATTATTATTATTATTATTATTATTATTATTATTATTACTATTTACCTATTTGTATTCTCCAAATAAGAAACCACTTGTTTACAACTAGTCATATCAGCATTCGTCTTCTCATACATTGGACTTCTGCATAGAAGACTCACTCCATTGAGAGGGGTTTTACAGGGAGAATCTGCGTGTTATGCGCCGGCTATCGCGGATTCTTCATAAGGCTGGAACCATATGCGGTGTGAAATGTGGATGCTTAAAGAGTACTCTGAAGGAGCTATTACAAGTTTGTATTATCGGCTGTTGCCGGCAACTAAAGGATCCTGATACCTGCGAAAGAACCTCGATGCCGATGGGAAACTAAAGTAGTGCTTGACTCCACAAGATATTCTAGGGAGCTGTTTACAAATCATATTTTTCTTAAATGTAGCGAAATTTACGTAGTTGTTGAGTAGACACCGGCATGGAAGGAAGAGAAGCGTCTCTACCTATTTTACGTTTTCTTTATTCTGCATTAAAAGTCAGATCCCGCTAAGGTCGTTCGTTTGCTTGAATAAACTAACGTATGTAACACTAAGGTGTTAAGTTGGTAGGCAACAATGATTCACTCCGCAACTCTTTTGTTGTGTTCCGTGACTGTATATCATGTCACAAACAGTAACAAAATGTGTTATCTAGTCACTGTTATAATGATTAATTTATAAATAATAGTCAATATATAAGCGTAACTAACAAACGCACAGAGAAAATTTGACTGTATTATCGGCCATTGCCCAACATCGTAAATTTGAGGTAGCAAGCTTGCTTAGTATGAGAGTGTAGACTTCCGAAGTCAGTCAGTAACTAGTTACCTAGTCAGAAACTACTTCCTACGCACAGGTGCCAATGTTTCGGTCGCCATTCTGCGACCTTCCTCGGGGCTAGATTTCGGCGGTATTTTCAGAATGGAGGCCGAAACGTTGGCATTTGTGACTAGAACGCTGCGTCTCCGGACAGCCAAGTAGTTATTCCTGAGTATGCTTTATTCTCACTCATGAGACCTTTTAAGAAAATGTACTACTCTGAGTCAGAAAGCTTGGTATCTCCGTGTCAAACATTCAGCATAGGAAGGAGAAGAAATTCTAATACCTACACACAACATGTAAAAAAAGTCTGCATTTTTACAGCAAATACTCTCAAGAAACTACATACTGAAAAATAATCGGAGATGAAACAGGATCAGGGAATATAACAAGCAAAAAATTAACACCATAGTAACGTGCAAACACAACTTTATTGCCGTGCCGCAGCGTCGATATTTACAGTGAAAAAGCGCGCGTTGGAAAGTGTTTTCGTGAGAGGGTTGAGAATGGCCGCAGCCGAGTCGTCGCCAGGGGGTCGCAAAGAGAGGAATCAGCCGTGATGATAGCCTCCGCGGTAGCCGCCGCCTCCGAACCCTCCGTGGCCGCCTCCGAAGCCTCCGTATCCGCCGCCGATGCCTCCGAAGCCCCTGCCGTAGCCGCCGTGGCCCCCGCCGTAGCCGCCGTAGCCGCCGCCGCCATAGGCGCCTCGGTAGCCGCCATAGCTGCCGCCTCCGTAGCCTCCGTAACCGCCGCCTCCGAAGCCTCCGCCTCCGAAACCGCCGGGAGCGGCCAGGGTGGCCACCACAACGGCGAACAGGACAGCGATCAAACACTGTTGAGGAAGCATTTTAGAATTTGCATAAACATGATGCAATGAAAGTAGATATGTTAGATTGGAACACATGTTTTCCTCGTTCGCATTGGACCATTTAGTAGGACCAACCGAAATAACACAGTTAGTTGCTAAATGATGTCGTAGGCTTCCGCGGCCAGAGCCATGATCTGGGCTCTCCGGGTGACACCGCGTCGAAGGCCAATGTGGTGACGTTTTGACGCGGCATAACCGGGACAGCGCAGATATTAAGTTATTAGTTGCTTTTACAGTTACTAAATGTATAATACATTCGATACACTCTGCATTTATAAAAAAATGTTTTATCGAGGTATTAATAAATCTTTCAAAATAAGTATAAAACACTGATAACTTTGCAAATAATAAACAAATGCTGGTATTGTGCACGCCAACACTAGCAAGACAAGCCAACACAAACAAACGCGTCGGACGTAACTCTCAACACAACCAGTAATAGGATATTAAGTACGAGTAATGACAAGGACTCTTTCCCTCTCAAAAACACTTTCCCTGACCACCTATTTTCCATTTCCATTACTGGACGCAATCTCGCATCACATTCAGTGTACTGATTATCTAGTTCTAAAGATTTTCAAATTTTCAGATTGGTTACTTCGTAAGGGTCCTAAATGCACTTTAGCTGCTCTTCAAGAAAAATATAGTGGAATTTTCATGAATTTTGTCTATAAGAAAAGTAAAGACTCGATTATCTTTATAAAAAGGACCTGGATGAAAAAATTTAAATTAATTGATTCGATGAGATGTTACAAGGTAAGTACCTACAGTACGTAACACAAATCATTGTCTTTGTAAAAAGTGATGGACAGGAATTAGAACAAACTCACGAATTATGGGTTTAAAAGATCGGAAAAAGAATTGAGGACTTGTGGAATTTGCAAGTGCGTGGAATATACCGGTGCCGAGTGCGATATCACTGTCATATGACTTTCCGCTGAGCTGTCACAAAGACGCTGCGTCAAGGGTTTTAAGAGAAGGGCACATTCCCCACGATGCCACCATCAGCAAAGCTGAAAGTTGCCAGTGGCGAGGGAGGAATTCGCGACCGTCACGTCATTCACTAGGCTTGGGTGTTTTCTCAAGCAATTCCCACTTCCCAAAGACTTGATAGACCCCGGGGTCCAGTCTGCTGCCGCTCACTTTAAAATTAGTAAGCAATGGCGAACTATTTGAAAATTCGAAAACATGCATATGAATTAGAGACTTAAGAATCAATAAAGAAGTGAAATAATGTAAAACATAGTACTTACGTATTTGAATTTTTGATCTATTTATAAAGTATTGAATTTTAATTTTATATCCAGGTAAAATTTAACATATTTCTATATATTACATCATTTCTATAATTTTTGATAAAATGAAACGGAGGAAAAAAATCATTTTTAATGTAAGCCAATAATCAACATAATAAACAAAGACTAAAATAAAAATAGTTTTTGATATTCTCTAGTCTTTCAATATACTTTACTGTGTTATTTGAATGGATGAAGTAAATGTAGGGCGAGATCAATACATGGAAGTAATTTGCAGCTGGATAGTTATCTACTTACTGCATAATACAAGCAAATAGTTAAACCTAATTGATGTTATATTCTAGGTGAAATACACTGATGTAATCAAAGCACTTGCCTAAAACATAGTAAGATAAATCATTTTGTTCGCAAATATGTTTGTTAAATTTCGTTCCAGAAGTCTGCGCCCTTTGAAATGCACACACGGGCCGGTGCTCCAGCGATTGCCTGCTAGCAAAATCCCCGACGAAAACCAAACGGTCATGCTTCATCGCCGGCGTTAATGAGCGCGCTAATTGCCACAAACATTTCGCCGCACGCGTTCTTTGCCACTGCAAACACAATGGACACCTCAGTCCCCAACTAGAGAGTAATGGATTCCTTCCTCGCGTATGAAAATTCTTATTTAATCTTTAAACATATACCAAACATACACTCCTTTTTACAGAACTAGCAGTTTTGAAGCCAAATCATATTTTAAACTTTCGAAAATGAGATTTAAAGTAAGTTCACATAATATTAACGGCATTATAACCTGAGTTGGAAATGAAGTAACTTGCTAATGAGATGATAGGGATGAAGGACATTTATAAACATGCAATCATACTCTTGATAGAATAAACTGCAACATTCAAAAGTTTTTGTTTTAGCTATTATTTTGTACAACTTAATGTTATTAGTCGTGGTAACTACGTGGGAAATGAGGATGTCAAAAATATTTTAATAGAAATGTTTTTTATATGAAATTGCCAGGAGTATTCGACTATTGCCAGCTAGTGATTGCATTTTTTTCAAAATATCGATTTATCGATATAACTACAAATCCAAAGCCCATGTATTTTATAGAATATACCGTATTCTATTTTTGCTCGATGTTGCGGCTCAAAATCGAAAAGATAGAACTTGAATGAGTGACAAAGAGTAAATTACAAAATTTGAAAATATACATCCGGACATAGTCTTACATCAAATCTCGAAGGTAACAAATAGATATTTACTACGCTATGAAATTAATATACATTGTCAAATTTAATTATTATAGTGATCTGAAATTGATATAGATTGAACTGAATACCTTTTAATTAAAAATAGTGATATTCTTTTTTCAAATTTTGCATTGTAACATTTTTTTATATGAGTAGACTGATTTACTAAAATGAAATTATCGGTATTTGAAGATAGCTAAAAAATATCGCCGCCGTTCATGCGCAAGTGCCAAGGGAATCTCCTAGCGCTGCTGGCAGCCTCTAGCGGAGCACGGGCGAGGCGGTGCGGCGTGGTCAGCGGACTCACCAGAGAGCGGGCCATGGCGACGACGGTCGGTGCGACTATGTCCTCAGCGGCGGCTGCCTCCTTCTTATATAGGCCCACCCGACGCCGCGCCGCGCCGAGCCGGCAGATTCGCGGGTGGTGGCGGCGGCGGCGGCTGGCCGGCCGGGGGTGGTTGGGTGGGTTGCGAGGCGGGAGTCCGACCGCGAGGACGAACAGGGTGGGGGAGGGGGCTGGCTGACCACCGAGGGCACTGTGTGCCTCAACCGGATCCGAGAGCGCAGACCGACCTCCTCCGGAGCAGGTTCGTGCTAGACGCACTAGGGTTTGAGGCCTGTGGAGCACAGGAGAACTCTAGTGGCCGGATGCTCTAATCGCTAGTTTTCCTTAATTCCCGACAATACCAAGCGTATTAAATGCAATTAATACCAGGCGAATACCGGAGCAGTATCGTAACAAAAGGATCATTGACTATGCGCGATCTTTCCTTCTTCTTTGCCCCCAGACTTACAAGCTACACTAGCGCACACATTGGGTGGCCAGTCGGAAATTTAGAGCTTCTCCCGGCTGAGGCTGTGCCCCATTGGGGAAATACCTGCAGGGAAAATCAGTGGGAGAGGAACACCGCTACATCGACGCGTATAAACATTAACTACCCTAACGGGAGTAATGACCATAGCAGTTGGCAGGCTCGGAAACATCAATCAAGCTAGACATACATCCACCTTTTAATCAGCACCTCGATTGTTTTTTAGATGTGTGTATGAGTGTGCGTATGAGTGTGTGTGTATGTGTGTGTGTGTGTGCGTGCGTGCGTGTGTGAGTGTGTGAGTGTATACGATTTTGAGAGAAATTTTGATAATTCGATCTTTGATATCTTTGGTATTTCCAATTTAATTCAATCTCTTAGACACAATATTTTATTTAACGACGAATGTGGTTAACTCGGGAACAGGTATTTCTAATTGTATGGCATTGGAATTATATTCAAAACCTTTCGCTTGTTTGGTTTCCTTTTACAGCGGGATCGCAAAAATACCAACACATTTCTTGAATTCCTTAGTATCTGATTTTATTCCATTTCTCTCAGCCTGTGCTGTTAACTTATACAGATACATGGCAATCAGACCAACACATATCGAATTCTTGAATTTTATGCAGTACTCGGTCCCGTTTTTTCTATTTACACGACAACATTCATAATTCAAACACCAAAATTTTTAAATTCTTGATATCTGATTTTATTCAATTTTAACAGCAATTTTTATTTATTTTTACAGCAACCTTGATAATTCGATTATCACAAATTTATAGATTTCTTGAATTTTATGCAATCCTCTTTAACCTTCACATTAATTTACAGCGATTCCATTCATATGGATAGAGAGTACGAGTACAGCAAGTCTCTAACTTTGGTAAATCAAATATTTTGCAATTTATTTTTTCATATCAGATTTGAGTTATTCGAAAAATAATTGATAATACCTTTTTTAAAAGATGTTAATGTACGAGTAACTTATTGTTATTTACTTTGGAACCTTAATTTTGCTGTTGCGAGTTATTTGATTTACCGAAAACAATAGAAATAGAAATGGTAATGCAGAATTCAACATGGAGGATTTCAGGTTTGTCAGATAATTACAGCAACGGATAAACGTTTATAATATGTGTCCAGGTAATAGGCGATCAATGTTAAATTGAATTCATAAAATCACATCATTGGACAGTAAATTGCATTAAAAATAATTTATTTTATTGCATATTCATTGGTTTAATGAACGTAAGAGTTATAAAAAGGTTTCAAAAATTATTTGCATATCCTGAGTGAGATCATTTATTTTTCTGATAGAAATTTGAACCACAGGGAATTTTGAAGGTTTCATGCAACTTGTATCCCAATATTAATGAGTTTAATTAAAACTAAATGCAACAATCAGCATTCACTGTGTTTCGCAAGAAAGAAAATAATTTTCATCAGTCTGTTTTCTGTTTCGTCACTTGCTGCAATTTTTATAAAAAATGTCACCTACTTCCCATTGTTTCTAAAACCTTTAATACTTGAGTGGGTCATGAAACGAATGTCTATTTATATTACGAAGTAAATACACAACTCACTGAGAAGGAAGGAAGGAAGCTGAAACATTGGTATTAGACATTACAATATATGAAAGAAGGAACAGGTTATTATATTTCCCCCAGTGAAATGTTTTCTTCTCTAGTCTCAAGTACATTTCTACTTAGCTGTCATAAATTTTCACGGTGAATTTTGTTCGACGGTTAGTTCAGAGAGGTAAGAGTCTATTGTGTATTATTTATGAATATTATAGTATAATTTTATAAATAAAAAAATTGGTATATTGGGGTGCCTAATAAGTATATAAGCTTATTTATAACGTGTCTTATTTTTATCTGGTACTGAATGGCATCTGTTTCAGTAATTTTGATGCCTACTTTAGGGTCTTCGGTGGATTTCGAGGCAAACTTAGTTGTTTTTCTTTGCAAGATTTTTGTGAAAATATAGATTGTCATATCTCATTGTTTCACAAGGGAAGTAACGGTGATCTTCAGAAAATCTCTTTCTTTTCATAAATCTATTATTTTCTTTGTTCATTTCAGTTCAAGCTAAATATAATTCAATCATCAAATCAAAGAGCTTTTTGTTTTCGAATCTTCATTTCCCCGCTCCAGAATTTTATAGACTCAGGCAACGTATATTCAACTATAAAACGTATCTCAAAAAAGCTTTAAGATGATTTTGTGTGGGTTGGTCAAGAATTAGTATATTATTGTAGAAAATTTTATGAAGATGCGCCTGTGTTTATAGAGTCTTCACTAGAAACTTGGGAACCTCGTACAAGAACTGAAATTGGTCCCCCCATCTTTTTTGTTTCCCCCCACCCAACCAGTTTGGCCTAAGGAAGATGAATCATTTTCTTTTAAAATGAAGTAGACAGTACATTTAACCTGAAACTTTTTGAAAAAGGTCTTATTCATGTGTGCTAATATTATAAGTTAAAATATAATTCTCGCTAAACCCTTAAGGAAATAAAAATCTAAATACCGTTTGCGAAATTTGATTTTTCAATTTTTAACAATAAAATCTTCCAAACAACAATGTATCTTTTTCAGGGGTTGGAGTCGGGAGAAACATGGTCTTGTGACCCGAGAAGTACTTGCGGTGTCACCTGTGCCTTCGTGAGTTCCGTCACTGCCTCCTTCTCTTGAGGTTGCGAGGTGCTCACCCCTCACCCGTTTCAACCCTGCTCCCCCACTGCTCACGTGGTTCCTCACTCATGCTCCTCCACCATTTCTTTTGTCTCTCGTGTGAAAAACCCTTGTGACTCTCCCGATCTCAGTCTATTACGTTCAGTATATCGTGACATTTTTTTCGTGACTGTTTGGAGATGTTATTTGTGTCCGCTGTCTCTTCCAAAAATTGTATATGTTATTATATTATTTCTTTTATCGTCGCTTATCCCCTTCACGTCTTTCAATATTACCATTTTTTGGCACCAATCATTCTCAATGTTTCGACTTACATTATTGTCTTAATTTGGTCTCGTTACTGTGACAACAGACCAATGTCCTGTGAATGGTCTACTCATTACATAATATTACATAGTACTACTCATTACCAATTAATTTACACCATTCGAAAAATATATTTACGGTCGTAAATAACTTAAAATTCCCTTTCTCTTTCTGTTACCAATCTTGATGTATCGTTATCCATGACACCAATTTTTATGACGTTCTTACTATATTGTGCTTCCTCTTGCACCGTTACCTTCGATATTCTTTTCCGTCGTTAACCCTTCCATCTTTCTACTACTGTCATTACCGTCCTTGCCTCGCGAAACCTTTCTATCAACGTTCCCACCGCTGGTGGCATTCCCGTTACCTCCACCACATCCCCCTCTCCCACCGCCTTTTTGTTCTCCACCGCCGCCGACGCCCCCATACTTGTGCCATCCCCTACGTCCCCCCCTCCGCCCCGTCTAAATAGCTGCCCGCCGGCCGAACACTCGTTCTTACGTATTTAATTCCGAGCGTTGCAATTTCCTCGCCCTTATGCTCCATTACAATGCACGGCGGGGGCGAGGGCGGAGTGGGGGGTG